GGGTGCACAGACTGCCCTCCAGGGAGACGGGACACCTGCCTTCTCCACTCCCTGCACCATCAAATCATTAATTATTTAAAATAACAGGAAAGAGCAAGAAAAACGCTCTGCACCAGACATGCTTGCAGCTTGCTGTTTGCAGTACTCTCTGGGGGTCTTGTGGAGAGCAGGGTTTGCATCTCCCCTCCGGCAGAAGCAAGGATCAAACCTAGCTTTTCCCCTTCCTCAGGGAAGATGCTCTACCCACTGAGCTATCGCACAAAAGAAGGGCTTCCCCTTTATCCAGGCAGACCTTATGTTTGTTTTTCCTACTGGAGAGGGCTTTTTTTTTAATTCTATTTGAATAAAAGGAAAACAAAACACAAATCCAAAGCTCCGAGACCAGCAGCTAGCCATAAACACCCCTCCACAATCTGTGTTCGCTCAAGAGCTTAGGGTCTACCTCCCCATTTCACAGCCAGGCCGGCCAAGCCCTGCTCACGGTCCCCTGCAGTGGGCCAGCTGGACCAGCACAGCGCTTGCCTACAGAGACCCTTGGTACTGGGCTTCCATGAGATGGAAATCACCGCCTCAGCCCTGCTCCTCCCTGCCCTGAAGATTGCTCTGGTGTGGCTGTGCCCACAAAGGGACATGTCTGAAGCAGCAGAGGATCTCCGCATCTTCGCATCCCCCTGGGATGCTGCCTGCCTCCCCGCATCTCCCACCGCACACGCATGCCCCACGCTCTCTCGCAGGACCTGCACAAGGGTCCCCAGGACAAGGGTGTCCCCAAAAACTGGCCTGAGCCCAGGGAACAGCCCCATCTGCACCCCGGAGGTGCTGTCTCGCTGCAGCACTCCATGCCAGGTGAACAGCACTGGCACCCTCATGTGGTGGCCACCATCAGTGTGTGCTTTCAGCCAGCACCCGCGGTGCGGGGAGGCTCCAGGGCCGGGGGAGAATCGTCAGGGAGTCCTGCTGAGGAGGGGGGGAGAGGGGTCCATGACAAGGACCAAGTCCGTAGGCCAGCATGGAGGTCCAGGGAGACATTATTGCGGCCTTCCAGTACCTAAAGGGAGACTACAGGAGAGCTGGGGAAGGACTTTGTACAAGGGCATGTAGGGATAGGACGAGGGGGAATGGCTTTAAACTGGAAGAAGGCAGGTATAGATTAAACATTAGGAAGAAATTTTTCACTCTGAAGGTGGTGAGGCACTGGAAGAGGTTGCCTCAGAGAGGTTGTTGAGGCCCCATCCCTGGAGGGGTTGAAGGCCAGGCTGGAGGGGGCCTTGGGCAACCTGGTCTGGTGGGAGGCGTCCCTGCCCAGGGCAGGGGGGCTGGAACTCGATAATCTTCAAGGTTCCTTTCAACCTAAACCATTCTATGATTCTATGGTACAGGGAAGGAATACAAATCGGATGTCACCTCTGCCCTCCGGAGACCAGCAGCAAAGAACCCCCTCTTTTTGCAGTTTACTCACACAGTCTTGGCCACTGGGAAGCCATTCATACGCAGGAGAAACCCAAGTCCTACCATGATTTAAGCTCATGCCTCCCAGTCCTGCCCATCCCGGCTTTTTGCAGAACAGGTTATTCCTTTCTCCTCACACCACCTTCCTATGCATTTGAAGGCCAACAAACAGCATTTACTCAGCCAGCCTGAGGCGTCACTCCATGTGTCACCCCGTATCCGTGGCAGGACTTGAGTGTAAGCAAACGCAGGAGAGGCGAGAAAACGCAAGGAGTAGGGAACACTGGTGTGCCACACTTACCCTGACAAATTAAATATGGGGAGAAAGCTGTGGGGGCCAGATCCCCGCCGGGGACCCGGCACCGGCTGTGCTGAAATGGCTGCAGCACAGAGCGGTCCCCATGTAACTCCAGGGAGGATTTGCTGCCAGGAGAACCACCACCTCATCCTTCCTGAAAAGGCAGCAGCACCTTTCCAGCCTGGGGATGGACAACCCTGACAGGACCAAGCACCCGGTTTTGTGATTTCTTTGGCTGTTTTGGACCTTTTTTTTCCTGCCTACCTCCGACCTCCCTGAAACTGATCTGATTCTCCCCCCAACCTCTGCCTGGTTCCTTCCTCCTCCTCCTATCAAAATGGAAAAGAAAATAAAAGACAAAACCAGACCCAGAGTGCTGAAACAGGAGAATCAACTCAAATTCTGAGTGAAAAGCGGTTTTATCCCTCCCCTGCACCCCCTGCCATACCCTGGCCGTGTGGTAGATGAGAGCACCTCACCTCCTGGAAATGCCAAACCCTGAACCCTGCTTTCAGGAAGGAAAAAAAAAAAACCAACAACCCACCTCGTATTTCCCACAGAATAGTAAATCCCTCTCCTCCCAAATCGATTTGGAAAGAGAATTGAACCCCCCACCGCTCCCAAGCAGCAGCACTGAGCCGCGCCACGCTGAGGTGAAGGGCGGCACCAGCCCAGGTAGCAGCCGCGCGGCGCCCTGACCGAAATGGCGGTATCTGGATTTTCCCTTTCAAATCATCCCCAAACGGCCCGAAAACACCTTGTTTGTCGGAAGGAGGATTAATTTTATTTTATTTTCCTTTAAAATAACAGTTACAGAGGCGCTCTGCGGCGGCGGGGCGGCGGCAATCAGTCAGCCCGCCCGTGAGG